AAATGCCTCCAAAGGTTCACGTGTTCAAGGCTTGGTCCCAAGCTGATGGCATATGGAACCTTTAGAAAATGGTGCCTCTTGGACTTAGAATCATAAGACTCTTTCTACCATGCAGATATAATGCCATTTACCTATGAACACCTCAGGAAGTATTGATTCATCTCTAAACATATTACAAAATTATTGAAAGAAAAATCTCTAGATTTTATTAAATAATGTGATCAACACTTTCAGCATTGAAAATAATTTTAAAAGTAAGTGTAAATTACAACTTTAAAATGATAGAAATTATGTCTACCTATCATTTGTGGTCTTCTCCTAGCATTCTATGATCAACATTCTATGTGTCCTGGGATCTGGGGCAATCCTCTCTGGAGGGTCACTACAAATGCTTTGCTTTTTTTTTTTTTTTAAAGTAAGAACTTATCCTAATTCAGTAAATGAAAAGGTGTACAGTATTTATAACTGCAATAAAGAAAACAATGATACAAATAAAGAGTATTTTTATATGATTGCAAGATCATGAAGCCATATATTTACTAACATGGAAAGCGTATGTCATGTATTAATTCTAAAAAGCATAATCATATGTAGACATATTATTGTAAAAAACAATGTTCATTTCCCTGTGTCCCATTCAATTTTTATTTACATAGATTATATTATTGTGTCCATCTACAACATGTTAAAATATTTTTTAGTTGTAGATGGACACAATACCTTTATTTTATTTATTTATTTTTATGTGGTGCTGAGGATCAAACCCAGTGCCTCACATGTGCTAGGCAAGTGTTCTACCACTGAGCTACAACCTCAACCTGATTATGTCATTTTTTTAAAAACATTTACTTATTTAATTTAGTTGTAGGTAGACACAATAACTTTATTTTATTTTTATGTGGTGCTGAGGATGGAACTCAGTGCCTTAAGCATAAGAGTCAAGCGCTCTGAGCACCTCTGAGCCACAACCCCAGCCCTTAAGTCACTTTAAAAAAAATTTTTTTTTTTAGTTGTTGATGGACTTTTATTTTATTTATTTATATGTGGTGCTGAGAATCAAACCCAGTCCCTCACACATGCTAGGCAAGCTCTACCAATGAACTACAACCCCAGCCCACCTTGTCACTTTTTAATAAAGAAAAAAATTACTATAATGTATACACAGATTAAATATGCTAAATTTTAATCCTACCTACTATAAATATTTTTCAGCTCAATTTCTACCTTGATCCTATCACATCAGTCATTTAGCAAGTATACTGTGCATATTTTCTATGTGCCATGTTCTATATCAATTAGTGAAGAATAGTAGAAAAACCAGATATAATCCCTATCTTCATAGTATTTCCAGTTGTAAGAAGAAAGACATTAATAAAATAATGTTTTATACACACTCACACCAATCACCAGTCAGAATCACATGAAGAAGAGCTGGATAACTTCAGGTAAGGGAGGTAAGACAAGGTGATCTGGGGAAAATGGCAGAGAGGACATCTAAATAATAAGCAGGAGTTAACCAGATGAAAGGAGAAGAAAAGACATTCTCAAGAGAGGAAACAACATATTCAAAAGCTTCTGGCAGGAGAAGGTGGCTGCCTTGTGAAATTAAAAAGGTCAATATAGCTGAAGCAAGACCAGAGGGAAGATTTCTGTGAGATGGGGCTTGACAAATTGACTGGGGCTCAGTGTTGAAGAACTTTGTTTACAAATATCTCTACCTTCAGTTTAGTAGTGATATAAAGTCAATGAAAAGTTGGGAATGGGGACAGAAAGGACAAGCTGCCATGATTAGATATAAAAATATTAATATGACATATAGAAAAAAATCAGACAGGGCATAAGTACACTAGGAAGTTGCTACTGTATGTGACAGAGAACAGGGATAAGCGGTGGTAACAGAAATAACACAGAGAGCCTGGTGTGGTGTTGCATGCCTGTAATCCCAGCGGCTAGGGAGGCTGAGGAAGGAGGATGGCGAATTCAAAGCCAGCCTCAGCAAAGCAAGGTGCTAAGAAACCCAGTGAGACCCTTTCTTTAACTAAAATACAAAATAGGGCTGAGGATGTAGCTCAGTGGCCAAGTGCCCCTGGGTTCAATCCCCAGTGACCCCATTCCTCCCAAAACACACACACACACACACACACACAAAGAAAAAAGCTTAGGAGGTGAAACTGACAATTCAGTAATGATAGGACGCAGAGTCTGAGGGAGGGGGAAATGTCAAATTTGGTGTCCCAAGTTTCTGCTTTGAATATCCAGTTGGTTGGCTGGTGCTCCTACAGACAAAGGTAACATCAGAGAACCAGGTGCAGTTGGAAGAGCATGATTTTAGTTTTAGACATGATGAGTTTAAGGTGTTTTTGAGGTATGCTGGAGGGGTTTTCAAAAAGACAGTTATAATAAAGCTCCTTTTCAACATCTTTGTCAATATCTTCAACGTAGTCACCTCTTTCCAACTTGTTCCTAGAGAAAAATCTGAAAAGTCATTTACGTAAGGGAATGACTGAATTACTATATTTTAGGTAATTTTTCTTTTGAAATAAAATCCCTATCTAAAAAAAGATAGCTATATGTAAGGTATCTAGCACAAAAGGAAGATGTAATCCAGAGGGAAAAAATTATGTTCATAAAGGACTTGGGAAAAGATATCATTACCTAGGAAAAGAGAAATTGAGAAGCAGACCACCAATGTTTAATTGCCCATAGTTAAAAATGATGCTTCAATAAATTTATTCTAAGCACAAATAAATAAGCATTGGTCTCATATTTTGTAAATTTTATTTATCTTTTCATGAGGTAATACTCAATTATATGTTACTTTTATTACTGAGAGAAATTCAAGAGGATGAACTTTGTATGTCTAATATAGTTCTCATTAAAATTCAATTAGTTAGAACCTTACCCTGAGTAAACACAAATTAAGGTATTTTGTATTTCTGAAGAAATTTTTGTATCTTGATTGTAAGAATTATTACCTGGCTAAAAAGAAAACATTCTGCCTTTAAATTATGATTTTAAAAGCTATTCTGAATTATAACATTTCAGGTATCTTATTTATTCATTCCTCAACTATTTTCTGTGAGATCAATATATGTTAGGTATTGTGGAAAGAAACTAAACATTAAAACCTAGCCTTAAGGAGCTCTCAGGTTAATAAAGAGAAAAAGCAAATAAAGAAACTGAAATATTATATTCTAAGTGTGTATCATATATGCATGGGATACAATGGGAATACAAAGGAAGGATACCAACAGAGACTTGGGAAGACATACTCAGAGGTTTCCTAGATTTTTAAGAACAATTGGAGTGGGTCAGGTCAAGAACTGGAGACACAATCTAGGCAAAGAAGCCTGTATCATAAAGTCTACTAAAAAAATTTGGATGCTTTTAAGTTTGTGAAGAGTCAGTGAAGAGTCTTCAGCAGGGAGTGACATGCTCCAATTGACATTTTAAAAGGACACCTACTGGTAATATGAAAAATTAATTGGACTTGGGCACTACAGTTTAGATGAAAAATAATGAGAGCCTGAATTTAAGTGATAATGGGAAGACCTAGGGAAGGTAGGCAGAGGCTGAGAGATATTTGAGAAGTGGAATGATGGAACTAAAGCTAGAGATGGAGGAATAAAGTATGATTTTCAAGTTTCTGGCTAGCTAATTAGGTAAAGGTAGATGCCCACTCATGAGTTTAGCTGTGGACATTCTTAGGTTGAGGAGAAAATGATAAGTAGGCATTTAGAAATACAATCTAGAATACTTAAATTTAAAGTCAGATTGTAGATAAAGTCTTTACTGTTTAGGTGGTTTTTGAAACTACTGCTTTCATTAAAAAAATGAGCTTAGCAATGTTTCTAAGTAATCTAGTTAGTAAGTTTGTTTATAATGCATTTTTATACCTAACTGCACACCTAATGTCTTCACAGTCAGCAATCCATGTTTAGTTTCCCAGTGCATTCTTTTGTATACTAAAATTTAAGAGCCATTGATATATGAAATAGGAAAACAATGTCAATTGTACAATCCTAGAAACATCAATATTGAAGGAAACAATTCTGGAAGCTTATAACAAAATATTAACAGTGGTGATCAATGGATGATGAAATATAGAGTTTAAATTTTCTTCTGATCAAAACATTACTGGGTTTGATTCTCAACACCATATATGAACAAATAAATAAATAAAGATTCATCAACAACTAATAAAAATGTAAAAGATTACATAAACATTTTGGAAGGTGGAGATAGAGATTTCTAGTTAAAACAGAAAGCTAGAACCTCAAAATAAGTGGAATAGTCATTTACCTTAATTTTTGTTTTTATTTTTAAAATTTCAACATTTACCTTTAACGAGAGGTAAATATTAAATATTTTTAAATTAAAAGAACCCTTAAAAGTGATGTATATGCTTGAGTTTTTAAGATCATTTTATACATTTCATGGTGAGAAACAGCTTTTTCTGAAACACAACCATCAAAACTAATAACAAATTCTAAGGTATTTATAAATGAAGTACTACAATTTTATAAGTGAATGACTTCAGCAAAAAAAATGTTAAAATGAGGACTAGCACAATGGATTCCAACACCTAATCACACTCAAATCAGATATATTTCTAAAATGACACTGTAAGTTGATTTAGTATCTCAATTTTAAAAAAGAAATGCCTAATTTCCCCCTTTGATTCAATATAGCCATTTTATGCTTCAAAATACAAAATGTCATGAGGATGATGACTAATGCAGTAACCATGATGCAAAAAACAAGTTAGGTCTTGTTTAAGAAACTGTTTTATGGGGCTGGGGTTGTGGCTCAGTGGTAGAGCACTTGCTAGCACATGTGAGAGGTACTGGGTTTGATCCTAAGTACCTCAGAAAAATAAATACAAGTATTAAAAAAAAACTGTTTTGTTTTATATTAAAAGACAAAAATACTGATCTTTTAACCCTGAAAAGTTTCAAAAAACACCAGTATGATTAGAAGCATGACATTTCTTTCATTACCATGGGCTCGAAGTAAAGCTTCAGCAGTAAATAGAGGAGCCTGAAGCATGTCTGCAGTTTCCACAATAAGCATATCTTTCAATCTGCGAAGATCCTGAGGCCTTAATCCTTCATATGGCTTTGAAAAGAAGAGAAATTAGAAATTAGAAGTTAGATTGGCCATGATGCTTAGGAATTATCAAAATATATATAAACAAATACATAAGATTATCATTTATTAAATCTTTCAGCTTCAATTTGATTATAGAAGTTCAAATGGTATTTTTAGGTTCTACTGTCACAGACTTCAAACTACCCTTTCACAAGTCCCTTTTAAGCTGGAAAGCAGATGCTGGGGCTCACGCAACTCAACATTCTAAAAACAAAAGTATTAAAACCATAGTGGCAAAACCATCATACCTTACAGTTTTGCAAATCTGGATTATATACCAAAAAAAGCCTTAGAAATAAAAACTTATAATCATATGAATAAGCAATAATCACTATTAAAGGTCTCATGTATTTTTATCCAGTTCTTTCTGCAAACCAACTGTATATAAATACATGTATGTTCACTTAAGGCAGTTTCAGTCACTGAATCACTGAATAGTAACCAATGCATTGTAGTAAACAAGAATTAAAAATTAGCTTAAAAAGCAGTAGAGATTCCCAAACATTTATTAGAAAAACAACCACTCAGATGTCCTCTGGTAGTATCTATCACAGTTCTTAAAGAGCTCTAGGCAGGGATAAATCTCACCCAGTGTATTTGATTTACAAATATTTTAGAATTAGATGTTATTTTTATTTCTTGCTTGGTTTTTTTGGTATCATGGTAATTATTTCATCAATTCTTACTTAACTTCATGTGACTAGGACTATTCACCAAGGCTAATTTTTCTGAGTTGACAGGATTAACTTTCTTATTCTTAGATATCTTCTGGCAGGGACAAATAAAAAGCAATGAGTATATTAATGACAGAGAAGACTGACACACTTAACCCCATAAAAATCTGCCAAGATTTAAACAAACAAACCAAAAAAGGCGTATTACATTTAATATATAGAAATTCTGTCATCATAAGTAAGTTTTTTTTTAAAAAAATTATAAAACATAAACAGCCTTAAAGATACAAATTCTTTCTCCAGCAAAGGCCAAGGTTACAAAAAAAAAAAAAAATACAACACAGTATTGGCAAAGTTGCAGTGAGCATCAGCAACATTATAGATGAAAATGAAAATCAGTGTATCATTTAACAACCTACCATAATCTATCATGAACCCTTAAAATATTCATCTTTTAACCTATTAATTTGACTTGTATGAATGTATTTCAAGATAGAATTGCAAATGTGGACAGAACTGGTTATTTGTAATGTTATTTGAAAAGTGAAAAAAAAAGTAAATAATTCAGATCTACACTAAGGGAATTATGGTACAATCACATTAGAATATGCATGTGAAATGATTTTCATCATGATAATTTTCATGATGAGTTCGTAAAAATCCAGCAGTGTTAGGAATTAAAAAAAATATTTAAAAAAGCATGTTCTATGGAAAAAATGTAATTGAAAAATAAAAGAAAAATCACTTGGGATGTAAAACAGCTACCAGGAGTAGCAGTGTACATTCAATCTTTAGTGTTTCTGCTATTAAAAATTATGGGGTAGACTTAACATTATATACATTCCACATCACACAGTATTATAGCCTACTTCATATGTATCCATTCAGCTACAACGCCATGAATGCCTACATATACAGGTATTCCATGAACTTAACTAGAAAATAAATGGAAAATTAACACTATTCTATATAGAAATATAATTAAATAAAAATGAAAGAAGCACTTCACTTTAATCCTAAGTATCCTTAGAAAAAAGTCTTAATTGTATAATGCTTCCTTTCAAGCTAACTGTGAAACACATTTTCTCCTAAAAAAAATCCTAGTACATCTTTTAATAGTTAAATTTGTAGTATTCATTTTATTATGTAAGTATATACTATGTATCACATTGTTTCTAGAAAATGTATTTCAAGTCCAGGTTTGGGGTTGGAGTAACTTTCTTTGCCTCAATAATTAGAGTATTTCTTGATATTCCCAGGGGTAGCAATTGTGTATTTCCTGAACTCATTTCCTAAATATTCTTTTTCAGATTAGCCATCATTCTACCTCATCAATGTTGAACCAATTAAGCAGGGAGAAAATGGTTAATTTAATTATGACTTTATAGATTATTATCAAGAAACCAGCCAGGCACAGTGGTGCATGCCTGTATTCCCAGTGACTCGGGAGGCTGAGGCAGGAGGATCTAGAGTTCAAAGCCAGACTCAGCAAAAAGTGAGGCACTGAGCAACTCAGTGAGACCCTGTCTCTAAATAAAATACAAAATAGGGCTGGGGATGTAGCTCAGTGGTCACATGCCCCTGAGTTCAATCCCAGTACCCTCTGCACCCCCGCCCCCAAAAGAAACCAATAGTACAGATAAACTAACGGGGGGGGGGGGGGGGAAATCACCTTTCCTTGCAATTCTGATATAATGTACTGAAAGATTTTTTTTAATTTTAGACATATTAAGAAGGAAAGGATACTATAAAACAATCAGCATGAATTAAGTTTTTTTTAAATGTATGCAGTTTTAAATTGAGAAAGACAACAATGGAAGAAAAACAGTTGTTGAAGGACAAAAACATATTGCCTGCATAAACATGTAACATATTCATTCTGAATTTCTGTAGGAGAATTGTAATTAGGTCATGTGAAGCATTTCAATACATTGCTCAGTCCCAAGTGGGCATTAACTAGCTCTTTCTTCTGTAGGAAAGATTAAAATTAAGGCGCCTTTCTTTTTCCTGCTGCCAGGATAAACTGCTTCTACTTTCAGATTAAACACAAACCAGCAATAACCTTCAAAGGAGTCAGTACAGATATAAAAAAAGAAAAAGGAAACTAAATTAAAAAGACACAGTGAATAAAAGTACCTCTACTGTATCAGTGCATACTACTGCTACCAAGAGACCACTCAAGAAATGAGAAAACCTAACACAAAAATAGCACTATTTTTATACCATGTTAAAAAAAAAGGCAGTTTCTTCAAAAATAGTTTCAGAAAGACTCTGACATAAATTAATTGAAGGGCATATTTGTTTTTGTTAAATTTTTCCACAATGAAAACAGCACCCTGCTATGAATGTGAAACATGTGAAACGTTGTTTTTTTTTTGTTTGTTTGTTTTTTAGTTTAAGGATAGCATTTTTTTACTCCAATATATTGGTAACTTAAAATTTTTAAATGTGAAATACACTCAGGAGAGTGTATTTCCAATTCCCCTTAATACCAATTTTCATTTTGCTGATCCATGAGCTTATTTTAAGAGGTAGAGGGGGAAAAAAGCAGCCAGAGAAATAGGCAATATCCTCTCTCCCTATTCAGCTGTTATTGCCTGGGCATTAAGACCTAGACTATTTTCACCTATACCTCCACTTAAAAGTATACTATAGAGCAGAGGAGGTTAAATGTGCTAACAAGAGTAGTTGCCTAAGGCAATGCCCAACATGTGGGTTCCCTGCTAGACAGAACCTTGAAGGGGCTCAGGAGTAGAGCGCTCGCCTAGCATGTGTGCGGCACTGGATTCAATCCTCAGCACCACATAAAGAAATAAATAAAGATATTGTGTCAAACTACAACTAAAAAAAAATTAAACAACAACAAAAGGAACTTGAGCCTTCCTGATTTGTAGAATGGTGGAAAGAGAGAATTCTTAAATTTTTTTTCTTTTTTTATGAAGGCCTTTTGTACAGCATGTGCACTTTTCATTTATTCAGAAGAAAACTTAGAATGTTTCTAGGCAGCCATAACTATAGTTTTTATTTTTATTTTATTTTTTTTTCTTATCTGCGTTCCTATTGTCTCCAGGCACTTAAAACAGTGTCTGGCAGAGCAGCAACTCAGAGTTTTGCTGAATGATGGGATAAGAAATGGATTTCACCCATTTATAAACTAATTATTTTATTATTTATAAACTAATTAATTACAACGTGTCAAGAAGATAAAGGATATCTTATACACCATCTAGATCATTAACTGAATCAAAAACAACTCAGAAATGTAAAAATATCTAAATTACTTAAATATTCATCAATAAACAAATGGTCAAGATATGCAGATTAGGTAGCTCAGTGGTAAAGCCTTGGCCTAGCATGCCTAGGCCCTGGTTCAATCCTCAGCACAGGGGTAGGGGGTGTCATGGGGAGGGGGCGGTGGCAAGGGGAGAGTCTCTCAAACACAGATTATATATTCTGACTTGGGAAAATGTTCAAGATACATTGTAAAGTTCAAAAAAAAGTATCAGGACTCAATACATGATGATCTTTTATGTTAAAAACTCAATATGTATATATGTTTTTGCTTAAGTCTAATAAGAAACTTAATACGAAACGGGTAGCATCAGGACAGAGAACATTTTTTAGCAATAAATATGCATTATAAATTTCAGAAAATGCATGAAAATAGAAAAGTAAGAAAAGCAAAGGAAATTTCCCATGACCACAATTATTATTTTATATACTTCAATCTTCTTTCTTTATATAGGTTTTCTTCTATATTATTAGAATCAAACTATTATATATTTAAAGTTAATCTAATAGTTTATTACAGTTATACTAAGTTCATTTAGGTCATTCATCTGTTAATGAGTTCTACTGATTTATTTTATTTATTTAAAATTTTTTTTTGTCCCCCAAGTAGTTCTAAGTTCTATTAGTTTCTAAACACCAAATTCTACTAATTTCATATTTAACTAGGAATTAAATTATGGTACCTTGGAGAAAAGATTAAATACATAATCACAAATGACTTTCAATTTAATCACATCAATATTATTTCTGGAGTACTACTGCTGAAATGTTATCTTTTGACTAAATAATTATATTAATAATTTATGCTTGACTCAAAATCATGGATTGTCAAAAGGGAAGTAGTATGGCAAACAGAAGAATCAAGTTCATTTCACTGTGATCCTGGAAAGTATTTTCTGGTTTATCTTTCTTATTAAAAAGGGAGGTGGAGGGGCTGGGGGTGTGGCTTAGCAGTAGAGCACTCGCCTACTAGCGCATGTGAGACTCTGGGTTCAATCCTCATCACCACATAGAAATGAATAAAATAAAGGTGTTGTGTACAACTACAACTAAAAAGTAAATACTAAAAAAAAAAAAAAGTGAGGAAGGGGACACAAATATCACTCAAAATTCCTGTGTGGATTCAATAACCATGTGAAAAGGCCAGCAAAATCTTTAGGACATAGGCCCTTTCTATATGTACTTAAACTTAATAAGTATGTCTATAATATAACCTAAATAAAGAAACAAAAATGCAAAGAAATACAAATATTAATTCTAAGAAACTCAACTCTTTTGGCCTTTAAGAGAGTATAAAAACTCAAAATATTTTTGTTGACAATTTCATAGGAAAAATAAAACAAACAATATGACTGGATGATACACATACAAACCAATAGTGATACAATACCTTTAGAATCAAGTTAGTACTGAACAATGAAGAATCAGAATCATTTTGGGAGGAAAAATTGTGTTATAATTTCTTTAAGCAATATCAATGGATGCATACTCTGTAAGCAGAGTGTTAGGCACTGAAAATACTCTGTTGAATAAGGCAGATGAGGCTCTAGATTTATTGTAGTTGACAATCTAATAAGAGAGAAAGGCAATAATCAAATAAATACACAAAATAATTATAGCATCTGATAGGTCTTATGAGAAATAAATGGGGGCACAAAGTTTCAGGTAGACAGGAAGAATAGATATTGAGGTCTACTGCACAATAGTGTGAAAGACTAGAGTCAGAATAAAAATGTACTGTGTATTTCAAAATAACTAAGAGCAATTTTCAAATATATCACCATAAAAAAATGATAGAGCACCACTGGGGAGACCATATTTAGAAAGATTTTCTCTCTGAACCTAAAAGGAAACAACTGGGAGAAGATTTCAGACATAAAGCAAATGGAAAAGCCTTGGATTAGTCTAGGTATTGTGCTGGGGAAGTAAATTTTGAGATGAAGATGGAAAGAGAGGTAGTAGTAAGATCATAAAAGGGCTTTCATCTGAGCAAACAATTCAGATTTTATTCAAGTACAATGACAAGTCACTCATATTGTTTGAATATGTTTAAATGTGCCCTTCCCCACCTGTTTTCCTGTCAAAGATTCCTGTGCTAAAAGCTTGGTTCTCACTGTGGCAATGATGGTGTGGAATTTTTAAGAGATATGGCCTATGAATGGCAGGTCCTCAATTAGGGGCATACCCTAGGAAGGCACTGTGGGACCCCAGTCTTCCTCTGGTTTCTTGTTTCAAGATCACTCCCATAAATACTCTCCACTATTTGCCATGGGGCCCTTATCAGAACCTGCCGTTTAGACTTTCAGCTTCTAAAACCAGAGCTACATAAACTTCTTTTCTTTATAAAGTTAGCTCATCTCAGGTATTTCATTCTAACAACATAAAATGGACCAATATGGTCACTAATTCATTTAAATGATATGAAGTGATTTAAGTTTAAAAATGCACCACTCTGACTCCTATGTACAAAACATATTCTAAAGGTACCAGATTGGAGGTAAGGAAAATATAACAATAGCTAAGAAGTGAGTATGGTGAGGGCCTGGAGATGGAGAGTAGAAGTAAAGACTGAAGAGCATATAGATTTAGGTAAAATTAACAGGACACCCTGATTGTTTGGATGTGATGGTTAAGGAGATGTGAGGAATCAAGAATGCCTGCCATATTTATTATGCTTGAGCAAATCAGTTAGCTATGGAGATGACAGGATATTTAGCATATTGCAAAGATGACCATACAAACCAAGCTCTAAAGAAAAAAAAATTTCTAATTTAATATAAAATGTAAAATTATTGTTACATAATTTTTTATTAAAAACAACAACAACAACAAAAAGCACCTTACCTCTCGTTTGTCTAATGCAGCATATTCAGCTTCTATTTCTTCAGCCTCAGGATCCCGTGAAAATACCATTTGGGATTCCAGATTGAGGGCCAAATCTTTGTGGTGTTGTTTTTCAGCACAATCACAAGGAGTATCTTTATTTTCATTCTCAGCAAACAAGTCTCCTCCATGTTTTACTAAAAGCTAAGAAAGATTTTTTTTGAAAAGTTGCAACCAGATTTACATGAAAAGTTACTGCAACCTACTGATTTTTAAAAAATACAATAGGATTAGCGTAACAAAAATGCAACAGTATGTATAGTGTGTATTTGAACTAATAATAAAATGTATTTTAGATATCTGTGGCTTCTAATTTTTAAGGCTAGAAATTATTCTTTTTTAATAATAAGATGAATTCCTTTGATTATAAACAATAATAAATAAACATTTTACTTGTATCATTCATTATCCTGTGAAATACTAAAATGAAATTAGGATGACCAAGTCACTGAGGCAAAGCTGTTTCTAATATTCCTCAAAATAAGTGATGGGATGAGCTACTGATGGACAAGTTGGGAAGATCCTCTATCATACAATCTCTCTTTGGTCCAAAGAAATCCATCTCTAAAAAGACATAAAATAATGTTGTAACTTGCGTACTACTGAGGTTTCTGCTGGTTTTGCAGAAGTTAAATATGTAATTTCTAAGAGCTGTAGGTTCCAGATTCTGATTGTGTTCATGGAGATGTTAAGGACATAAAAATCTTCAAAAAACCCTTCAACTTTGAAGGGCATTCTGACAATTAAGCATGAAGATTCTTATACAGGATTCAGTCATACTCAGTATAGTAACAGTCACTATGTATTGCCTTCTAAGCACAGCATAGTGCTTAGCATTAAATATACATTCTCATTTAATATTATACACTCCTGTGACAGAAGTGTCTCAGAAAAGGAATTTGACCAAAGTTACCTAGCTAGTCAGACACAAGTGTGATCAAGTTTTTAACTGTGCTTGGCTATTCTGCTGACTCATGTTGTAGGATGATCACACAAACTGAAGAAGGCAAATGCAACCTGAGTCAATCCTCAAGTTCTGCCCAGGCTCTTATGTAAATCTAAATATGAATACTTTTGTAGAGGCTTTCACTTTATATGAGGGTTAATCATAAATGGCTCTTTTCATTTTCTTTCAAATAATTTTATCCTCCTCTTTGCTCACCAGCAAACACTGACCTTCTTGCAAAGTTCTTCTGATTGGAATTCTTTTTTTTTTTGTACCAGGAATTGAACCCAGAGCACTTAACCACTAAGCAACATCCCCAGCCCCTTTTATTTTGAGACAGGGTCTCACTTAGGGCCTTGCTAAGTTGCTGAGGCTGGCTTTGAACTTGGTATCCTCCTGCCTCAGCCTCCTGAGCCACTGATCTGATTTAAATTCTTATGTTTCCTCTACAGTCATACCAAGATATATCAAATCATCACTATTTCAACACATCTTTTCTTCAATTCTGCCTTTCTTCCTGTTTACAATTCCAGAGGTGGGGTAACCAATAACATTCAAAACAAATCCCATACCATTCTTCTGATCCATAATATAAAATGTTGGGAACTCTTGGCAAGTCATTTAACTCTTTCAAGTCACAGTTTACATAGGCCCATTAGAAAAAGAGACATGTAATTTTGAAAAAAAAGGTGCAAAACAAGATGATTCCTAAAGTCTGTTCTAATTGTAAGATTACCATTTCACTATCTCTGTGTACTGGACTTCATTACTTTCTCCATCTCTACTATGACTTCCTTTAGCTCCTGGCACAGAATCCCTTTAACTTAATCCTGCTATCCTTTTAGTTACTTTCCTAATACTGTAACGGGCGGGATAATGACATTTTGGTGTGCATATAAGAAGAAGATGTAGTGAGATAATAGAGCAGAAAAATTATTATTATTGCCTTAGTGGTGTTGTGACTATCCTAAATTTGTAGAACACCACCTTATTCATAGTTTGTGGTGATACTGGTGTAAACAAACCTACTATGCTGCTAGTCATATAAAAATTACATACATAAGGCTTTCACTTTATATGAGGGTTAATCATAAATGGCTCTTTTCATTTTCTTTCAAATAATTTTATCCTCCTCTTTGCTCACCAGCAAACACTGACCTTCTTGCAAAGTTGAAAAGGAGGGAAAGGTATGTAGCAGGCTTTAACATCAAGGTTTATGTACATACATGTTATTATGTTCATACAATGGTGAAACCACCTAACTATGCATTTCTCAGAATGTATTTCCATTGTTAAGGAATGCATGTCTGTCTGTTCCTGTTGTCCTCAGCCACATTTCTCAAAAATATTCACTCTCTCTCCATTTTCTCAGCAAATGACTCAATTACTCCTAGTTATCTTCTACCTTATTTTATGGAAACAATATTCCTGAAAGTCATTAATACCTCTTAACTCTCAATCCAACAGTCTTTCTCAGTCCTCCAATTCCTTTACCTTGCTGCAACATGTCACATGACTGAGTACCCTCTGTTTTAATCAGCTTTTTCACTAAAAGATTTGACCAGAACAACTATAGAGGAGGAGAAGTTTATTTGAGGGCTCAGGATTTCTAAGGTTATTAGTCCACAAAGGTCATCTCCATTCCTTAGCGCTCTAGTGAGGCAGAACATCATGGCAGAAAAGGGTGGCAAAGGGAAGCAAGCAGCTCACATGATGTTTAGGAAGCAGAGAGAAACTCCACTTTCCAGATACAAAATATATACCCCATAGCCCCATACCCAATGAACCACTTCCTCCAGCCACACCCCACCTGCCTCTCTAGTTACCACTCAGTTAATCCCACCAGGGATTAATTCACTGATTAGGTTAAGCGTATAGCCCAATCATTTCTCCTCCAAACCTTGCACTGTCTTATACATGAGCTTTTGGGGGACACCACATCTAAACCATAACACCCTTTCTCTTGGGAATTCTTCTCTTGGCATCCTTGACATTGTATCACTATGCCACCGTACTTTTCTACTTTTTCTGTTTCTGACATAGGCTTTACCTCTTGTTCTTACCATCTTCAAATGTAAGCATTCTCTAAATTGACGTTGTCACTTTAACTAGACTTTCCCCTGGATCTCCCATCTTTCCATTGTCTTGTTTGTAGCTGTCAATCATGTAGCTCATAATTCCAAATCTATACTCTTTAGTCCCAAACATTTGGTCCTAATTTTCAGTAGTCTGTCTACTATTTCTTGTGGAGAATCTAAGACCTGAATATCCATCCTTCTAAATAAAAGGCTACTTTCCCTTCTTTTCAACCCATTCCTTCCTCATCTTACTTTTTGAGAGGCTGATAATTGTTGGCAAGCCTCAAATTTACTTAGATTTAAAACCATATTCATTTTTCTTAAAGTTAATTTAATTTAAGGAGATAAGAGTAGATTATTATAGAAAATGTAAAAAAAAATCAGAAAATGTCATCCCAAGATAGTTCATCATAGTCAATATTAAAAATTTAAAGCCTCCATCATTTTAAACCTTTTTCTCCCTTGCTTTTTTTCTTAGTTTTTATTTTTTTGTTCTATTAAGTTATGCATGATAGTAGAATGCATTTCGACACAGCATACACAAATGGAGTATAACTTCTCATTCTTTTGGTTGTAAATGATGTAAAGTTACACTGTTCAAGTAATCATATATGCACATGGGGTAATAATGTTCAATCATTCTACTATCATTCCTAATCCCAAATCCCCTTGCCTCCTTTCACTTCCCCTCTGTCTAATCCAAAATACCTCTATTCTTCCCTAGCCCCACCCCCTTAATGTGAATTAGCATCCACATACTAGAGAAAACATTCAGCCTTTGGTTCTTTGTTTCCCTTCTTTTTCATGTCACTAAATGCTACCAGTTCTTCATAATATCCCATATATCTGCTTCATTCTTTCCATCCCTAATGCCACCACACAAAGCCAAGCTCTTTATCAGTTTACACAAGATTAATCCAATAATTTCACTACGACTCCTCCATCTAGTACAATGGTTTTCAACCTTGGCTACACACTGAAGCCATCTGGAGAACTTTAAAAATAACAATGTGTGGGATCTACATTTAGAGCTTATGATTGTATTAGTATGAGGTTTCTATACAGTAATGGTTAGAACCAGTGACCTGATACAAGGTTTTCAAATGGTTTAACAATCATCTGGGGAGCTTCATAGTCTTATAAAATGGATTTGGAGTGGAAAGTGCAATCAATTTATTTTTATAGGTGATTAAAATATAAGTGGCCCAAAGACCTCACTGTAAATAGGGATTTTCAATCTTCAATGGGAATATGATTAAGATTGGGGTTTTACTAGAGTATAGATTCAGTTTCAGCTGGGCCTAAAATTTGGTCTGAATTTCTTTATTTGTAACAAGTTCCCAGATGATCAATGCTAATACCATTCTGAGGACCAATCTCTGAGTACCAAGTCTCTTAATAAATACTGCTTTACAATTATCCCATTAAAATCTATTCCACATTCCAACCATTAGGCTAATCTTTTTGTTTTACCTTTTAAGATACTACTTTTTCAATCACAGTGTTTCATTGGCTTAATTTTCTGCAAAAGAACTCCCAAATCTTTGACCCTGGCACTCAGTAGTTTCTGTTTGGTATCGTCTCTACTTTCAAGTCACTTATTATTTCTCCACCAAAAAAACTTCAATCTGCAAATGTTTGAGACCTAGGACAGTGCTTCTCAAACTCTACCATGCAAAAGAATCAGCAGAAGAACCTACCAAAACATTCCTGGAATCCTAGAAATTTTGCTTTGGAATTTGGAGGTTCAAGAAATTGTATTTATCATAAGATCAGAGTAGTTACTGATGCTGCAGGTCTGACATTTACATTTTGAATAGCTTCCTCCAAATACTTAATCTGAAATCTTACCCTCTCAAATCTTACTACTACAATGAACCCCTTCCAGGGTGTGTGTAATGCCTTTAATAGTCACTGTCTTAATATAGCCCTTAGCACATCATAATATTTGGGAACAATGATGAGATCATAACTCTTGAAAAAAAATGAGAAAACTGAGACTCAAACAGATAGTTGCTGAGTTACAGAGCTGGGACTACAATTCTTGCATTCTTTTCAGTTTTAAAACTCCAGGTGCTAATAAAAAAACACAAAATAATTAGGTAAACTCTTCAGTCAGTTCTGTAAATGGTTATTATGGCTTTTCAGTGAACCGGTGAAACACTCTGATAGCTGCCCAAGTGTCAAACAGGCTCTCTGCCTATGGAAGGGAAAGTATGCCTTACCACCTTTGTTTTTCTAGTAACCTCTATTTGATCTAAGCAGCTATACTTACAGCTCTCAAAATAAGCAATTAGGGAATGTATCAGAAATATATAAAGTAACACTCATTTTTAAACATGCTTTATAGATAGAGTGAAGCACTATCAAAAGCAAAAATCTGTTATAGTCACCAACTACTGAAGTGTTGAGTCATCTTGCCTTATGCAGGGGCCAGTCCGCTGCCTGTTTCTGTATAGCCCATGAATTAAAAATGGCTTTTCCATTTTTTAATGGTTGAAAATGAGTCAAAACAAATATTTCAGGATATGTGCAAATAATCAGAAATTCAAATAAAATTATTTACTATCTAGGTTTTCAGAGGGGAGGAAAAAAAAAAACCAGCTTACAAACCCCTGAATTCTTCTTTGGTATATGAAAAATCAGAATTAGAGGAATTTATTTTTAGTTTATCCTTAGTAAATGTTTATTATGTAAGCATTTCCAGTTTTCAAACCATTTAAAACTACCACAACTTTTTGATTACTTTTAACTCATAAATAATTTTAAAGAATGAGTATTTGTGAAACACCAGATTTTCCTGTTTAAGCAGTTCTAAAAAATACACCAAAGTGAAGATTTAACACAAATCACTTGGTATTAGAGAGTGAACATAGAGATAAAAAGAAGGTGCTGGCTGAAAGAAACAAGAGGTCTACTCTGTCAGTGAATCATACTGGTTTGGTGCAGGCAGTGGGGGTTGGGGGTTGCTGCAAGGAGAAAGAGAAAGAAAATAAAGAACAGACCAAGGTAAGTCCAGGTATTATCAAGACTGGTTGGTTATTGGGGAGATTAAGAGAAATAAAAAGTTAAGAGGAGAAGCTAGTAGGTAGAAAGTGCAGCTTCAAAAATGTAAAATTTGAGAAACTGTTGGAACAGCTATATCAGGAAGTCAACCAGGCAGCAATAGCACATGAGAAACTTCAGAAAAATCAGGGTTGGCTATCAGAGACACTGATATGTGACACTATATACATCCAGTGATACCTTCATACCTAGGGGTTCCCAAAGAACTCTATAATTAAGAGATTTCAATTTTATTTGTACGTGTGAGGAGGCTATTATGGACCACAATTATTATAGAAAGGAGGAGTTTTAAAATAAATAATTCATTTCCATGGTTCAAATGCATCTATGAAATTGTCAAATACTAACTTTATCAAAGCTGTTCTTAAACATACAAAAACATTTCAACAACTAGAAAAGATATATTTTCATAAATATAAAAATATAAGTCTGTACATTTTAAAAAGGGGTTGGTCTTAACCTTGGGAAAAAAATAATCTCCTAATTGTAATGCCTAGACACCAAAAATGGGAAATACTTTACTACAGTCATGATCTAATAGAAAATTAGTTATAAAAGGGGTATTTGAAGTAATTTTAAAATTATTTACCCCAACCAGCCAAGAGGCAACTATCACAGAGATTGAGTGACTCACACAGTCTCATAGTTACTATACCAAGATTAGATACCAGTGCTTTCACCACAAGATAATACTTTAGTTTCATGAAAAATTAATAAATATCTGGTGACACTATTTCACTCAACTCCAACTTTTATATCATGCTTAATTAACAATGAGCACTATGAAAATTAAAAAGCATCATACAAATGTTAGTTATTATCACTATTATTCTTATAGTTAAAGACTAACAGATGTATAGAAAGAAGTTTAGAAAAAAATATTTAAAGTACCCTTCATAGTAAATTTTATAAGAGAAATCTAAACCTTTCCTGTGTCATCAAAATAGTGCAACATTACCTGAAGACTAATATTCTAAAGAATTATAGTTCATAGTAGGTTACATATTACAATGTATTTATTTTATGCACTTACACAAGAAAACACAATAGGAACTCAGGAGATTAGTTAATCAAAAGTAAGTAAGGGCCTAAGTCTGGGCAAGGAGAGTATAGTCAAATAATGTAAATTAAAGATAAGCTTTATATGGGCAAAATAACATCTGAAATGAGTACTAGAATGAATGTAGGATATTCATAAAACTATATTTGGAATATTTTACATTAAGTCAAAAGAATTCTTCAGAATACAGAAAAATGAAAACAGTCATCAAATGCTGGTGTGGCTTATGCAATGATATGATCAAAGAGTTAAAATATATATTCTCTCTCTCTCTCACACACACACACACACACACACACACATCAAAATAAACCTCACACTAATTTTCCTTAATAAACAAAAAATAAAGGTGGTAAAGGTACATCATTGTAAAAATACTTCAAAATCAACAACTACTAAAGCAATGATATTGACAAATTTTGGAAGCAAGATACTAAAACAGCCTTTTAAAAGCATTAGTATTACTATCAAGAATAAGCTATTTTCTACCCAAGTCCATTTGAGAAATATGATGCAGATAAATCAATAATGGTGAGTCACTACAGCAGGGATTCTTTCATAGGAGATAAATATGAGAACAATATCTACAAGCTTGAGCAAAAAAAATTCTGCTATTAGCCACTCCCTGCAAAAAATCCAGGATATCCTTCCACTACACTGAATCAATATTAGCACTGCTTGAAAGAATAATCTCAAGTTAATGACTGTCACTCACTAACTAGTGAGCAAAGGTGACATAAACACAAGAAATAAAATGATGAAGATTTTAAAAGATTAACAAGTATCACAACAGCAGTAAATAAAAGACAAGTTTATAAGAGTGCTATTAGTGAAAAGAACTGCCTCTTCAGATATACTAAAGGAATTGTATAAGTGGCTGTAATTCTTTAACAGAATACATTCAATATTTTTGATATATTAATCAATTTAGAAGTATAATGTTAAAGAAACATTAAATTTAAAATATCCAGATATACATAATTTAATCCCATTAGGATCAATGCTTTTCCAATAAAGACACACATTTTTAGAAATGAAAATACTCTGATCCAACCTAAAATGCTCCTCCCTCATAAAACAACTTTATGAGCTATATATGGAATGACATGAATGGTGGTAACAGAGAAAAATCTGTTCTGATGTATGTGTAGTAGTGATATCATAAAAGTAATGGTTTCTTAGGTTTAGCTAAGATCCCATGTATATAGACGATTGTATCTAAACATATTGTTAGATATTTTATATATATTAGTAACATATATTAGGTATATATATATATTAAATACATGTTAAAAACTCAAATGTAATGTACTTAAGAGCACTTTAATGCAGACCAAATATAAAAAAGTTTAAAAACAACAAGTGCTTTTAAAGATTCAATAAAAGCATTTATTCATGTTTATTTATTATTTGTTCATGTTTATCCCTTGCTTATTAACTGATCGATTCTAGAAAAAAATACCTATAGAGCCTACTTCTCAATACTGCCATATCTGACACGTATAAATTTCATAAATTGGCTACAAAAAAAAAAAAAATCAGCAAAAAATCAGAATGCATCTTGACTAAAATTATTACTCTCAATATGACAGTGCTTAATTGATGACTACTTTTATTGGTAAATTTTTAATTATTCTTGATTCTAGTTTATTTAAAGGGTTGACTATTTAGCTGTGGGTTTTTCCCTGGTAAAACAACATTAAAATAAAGTTAAAGATGATTTTTTAACTTTAAAGGGCCCTGATTCTTTCAGAATGAAAAAAGGGACAAAAATGGCTAGTTTAAATATTGTTACCACAAACAAAACAAACCCTTATTGTTAAATATTAACAAGATACAAATTTTATAATTCAGAATATTAAAAGAAAACAAGTTTTACCTCTACACAGGCTTTCATCCCTGAGGCAGCAGCATAGTGAAGGGGTGTGTTTTTCTTGTTATCAACAGCATCGATAGCTGCTCGCTCATATTCGCCTTGATCAAGTTTTGCCCCTTTCCATCTTAAGATCATCTGCAGACAATCTGCTCTTCTGAAATCATCTTCCACGGGGCGTGCTAAGCGCGGATGAAGGGCTCCTTCAGATATCATAATTTGAGGTCCCATACACAACAAATGCATAGATGTTTCATTGTGGACATTCCTTTTATTTGGATTTCCATCTCTACCAAAAAGAAAAGTCCTAAAATGGAAGGAAGAATGAAAACCACTTGAAATATATAAGAAATCACTAATTTAACAGATAAGCTCAAAATCCTTTTTTTTTTTTTTTTTTTTTTTGGATATTGGGGATTGAACTCAGGGGCACTCAACCACTAAGCCACATCCCAGGCCCTATTTTGTATTTTATTTAGAGACAGAGTCTCATTGAGTTGCTTAGTGCCTTGCCTCACTTTTGCTAAGGCTGGCTTTGAACTTGCCATCCTCCTGCCTCAGCCTTCCAAGCCACTGGGATTACAGGCGTGTCCACTGTACCTAGCTCAAAATCCAATTTTTGAAGTGTCTGGTTCACAATAAGTTGAAGGACTGATTCTTACAATTTCAAAAATCTTCATTCTAGAATAATAATACTAAAATTAAAAAAAAAAAAGAATATATAGTGCTTGCTAATAAAAAGAGAAGGAAAGGGAAAATGAAGGGGTAGTGGATAAAAAGGAAAAGAAAGAAGAAAGCAAAGGGGCAATTAATGTCAATTACATAAATGTCTTAGAGTGCCTTAAGAAACTATATATATATATATATATATACATACATACATACACACACACACACACACATTTTTTTTTTGCTGCCCTCCCCTATCACACGTATTTACTTAACAATCATGGTGACAACTAATATTAAAAACACAAAATCCATAAGTCTTAAGACTAAATTTTTAAATCTAGGAAAAATTTTCTCTACCTGAAGGTCATCAAACTAACCTTTGGAATAAGGGAGCACATATTTCCAAAGTATCTAAATTTGCCTGAGCTGCTGTAACAAAAATACCATAAACTATATGGCTTATAAACAACGAGCATTTATTTCTCACAGTTGTAGAGATTGGAAAATCCATGATTAAGGTGTCAGCAGTGTCTGGTAAGGGCTTATTTCTCAGAGAAGTTTTTTTGCTGTGTTCTCACGCAGTAGGAGGGGCAAAGCAGCTGTCTGGGGCCTCTTTCATTTGGGCACTAATCCTAACCTCATGACCTAGTCATTTCCCAAAAGCCCCAATACTGTCACCTCAGGGGTTAGGAGGCAAAAAGACAACAGCACATGGTATAATACTTCTGATGAGAATTAACTTGTAGTTGTTTCTCAAAGACCAACATCTAATTTGATGGTGGGAGATTTTACCAAAGACAGGTCTGAGTAAGCTGCCTTAACTACTGTCAAACTTGGATCTACAAGTTATGCCTCATTCCTAATTTATTCATAAACTAGGGTCCTAAGACTAATAATTGAGCCAATTTGGTGGCTATAATAGGATACTGGAAAATGGGTTGGAAAAGACTTGCTATAATATAGGCAGCCTATAAATTTACTCTGAAATGGGTATACAAAGTCCCACATCTGAAGATAAATGCCTGCATTTACTGTCTCCACTGACCAAGACTACCTAAAAGCAAACCCAACCTTACTTAGAAGTTTCTTTTTTACAATAGGTTGTCTTTCCCTAGTTGAGATCATTAGGCTCCTCTTATCCAAGTCCAGAACAGCAAAGGGAAAGGAAAAGAACTAAATCCTGAATCCATTACATTTGAATTGCTTTTAGGATAGTCTAGCAAATACATTGCTCTGACAGGGGAAAAAAAAAAAAACCTGACCATAAAGGAACTGGCATACTACTCGATTAGTAGTAGTTAGCCAAGTTGGAAAGCTCTTGGGGGCGGGGGGGACTGAATAAGAGGTCCAGTCTCAAGCAGAATGACCCAGACAACTTACTGAATAACTCTGAATATGTCAGCTTTACCATTCAAAACCCTAGAGAGCTCATCAGTGTGGTCCTTTAAAACTAACAGGGTTTTTAAAAACTGCATTTATTAGCTTGTCCTGAAAGTAGGCACGAGTTCTCTGGAGCAGGAAAAAAATGAATTATTACTACACTTGTAAGAATCATGTCAAATTCCTCATATCCCAATTTTCCCACTGGTGCAATGCAAAAAGACAGATCAGATGCCACCTTGCATGTACTAGGATTTGCCTTATAGGTGAGTGTGGCAGGATAATGCCTCTACCTCAAAGATATCCACTTTCTAATCCTAGGAACCTGTAAATATGTTACCTGAAATGATAAAAAGGAACTCTGCAGATATAATTAAATAACCAATTTGAGATGAAGAAATTATTCTAGATTATCCAATGGGCCCAATGTAATAAAGCATTCTTATAAAAGAGAGAGACAGAAAGGTGTATGCTTCTAACTTTAAAGATGGACGAAGGGAACATGAGCCAATAAATGTAGGCAGCTTGTGGAATCTGGAAAAGGCAAGGGAAGGGCATAAATTTCATTCACAAGGCCTCCAACATTATATCTAATCACCTCCCAAAGGCTCCATCTCCTAATACCTTGGGGTTTAGGATTTAAAACACAAATTTTAGAAGGACACAAAAGGAATACAGCCCTGACAACCTAGAGTTTAGTCCAGTGGAACCATTCTGACCTTTATATCTCTAATGTAATAAAATTTTGTGTTGTTTTAAGCCATTATATTTGAGGCAATTATGACAGTGGCAATAGGAAACTAATACAGTAAGAAGCACTGAAAATAAAAATCTGGGAGGTTATATAGTAACATCTGTATAGCAGACCTCCTCCCCTCTGGAGATGCAGAGAATTCAACCTATCCCTCAGCATAAAGAATGTCTTAGGGGACAGACCCTGAGCTGTGACCCTCTAGATTGTAAAATACGTCTCTAAGGGAAAGGAAAGATTAATAATTTGATTTTTACAATTTAGGGAATATTTCCATGATCTCAGTTCTCATCTACTCCTCAACCTCTTTCAAATATAAGTATCTTTTGGGAGATAAATCTCTCTGGAGTTCTCAGTCTCTATTCAGTCATGATGCTTCCAAGGCTCAGCTTTTAGCCTAGGTCCAAAGTTTCAGTGAAATTTGCTCAGATTTTCTCTCCATGCATATTTTCCCCCACAGCTCCACACAGCATTTATAGCCTTTCAGGCACTCATAGTATTCTATAATGCTTGTTTTGCTGTTTCCTAGGAATTGACCAAGACTACCTAAAAGCAAACCCAACCTTGCTTAGAAGTTTCTTTTTTACAATAGGTTGTCTTCCCCTAGTTGAGTTGACTACTTTCTTTTTTGTCCTCACATAGCATCCTCATTGCATAACTCACTTCATTCTATTGTAGTTACTATTTTTATATATCTGTTCTCTTCTTTCACTTAGTTTATAGGCATGTAAGGCTGAGCCTATATCCTGCTCTTTCTTGAATCACTAGCAGTGTCACACCTATAGTAATTTCATGATATAATTTTGACAGATAAACAGAATGCATATTAAATTTCCATGATCCAGATCAGGGACATGGGGTTGGAGAGCTCTCAAGTTGGCAGTATATAAAACTGATTAAGAACACAGTATCTAGTACCAGACTACTATATTTTAATCATAGCTCTATTGATTTCTTTGTGTGATCCTCAGCAAGTGACATAATAGCTCCTAACAAGTAATATATGATTCAGATTCTTTGAGTAAACCTACTCCTGGAAATGTATCTTAAATAATTTAAAGAAGTAAAAATCTAGGAACACTGAAGATTCAATAGTATTATTCTGAATAGAAAATCTGGGAAATACTTAAATATGTGACAAAAGGAAAAACAGGAAATGAAAATCAAGGTATTGCCTACCCAATGGAAAATTAAAGTTGCTAAAAAGTCTACCCCAAAACACTTATAGCTAAATGAAAGTATAAATAAATAATTTCAGTTTCCATCACAATTCCCTGAATATTTATGGATAAAAAGGAGAAGAGAACATAGAATAATAAACAGTTGTTTAAAGGAAAAAGAAACATGGATAATTTGTCTTATTATGCTACTATAATGTTGCTCAGTAGTTAAAAAATATTGTTCCTTATACCAACAGCTAATGATGAAATTTCCATATCTCCTTGTATTTATGATGATTATAGTAACTAAAATTAAAACCATAATCTCAAAATAAATACCTCTTCTAGGAGGTATTGCCATCAACAAAAAACATCCACTTTCTTAAAAATTTAATTTAGAAATTATTAAAATTCATATTCTACAAAAATTTTGAACACATTTATCTATCCTTTTCTATTCCCTTTTCCAATATATCAGTTATTCTTTAAGTTTTCTTTTGAAAGAAATCAGGTTATTATCACCATGAAATTGAACATAAGTTGGAAGAATGTCAGTCAATATGTAAGCTTCAGATACACTCCTTTCTGTAACCATGTTGGTAGTTATGAAGTGTTTCCTATCACTTGACTATAAGGTTAATTCTGGAACAGAGTTAGGAGATGATTAATAGAAAGGTGCACTGAGTAAAAAACACTAACCTGGAAAAAAAATTCCTTTCACTTGACTTAATAACCCATCTAGAAGACATAGGCTTTTCTAGATTCCTTCAATGTTAATTCTCAAAGTCAGTTAATAACTGTTACCTCTATTTATTTTACATTAATTCTTAACTTCAAAATGACTCTATTCTTATCACTTTACTGAAATTTTATTCTCTCATACTACCAGGAATTTCCTAAAAGTTAAATTCTTTGTCCTTGTCCTTAATTTTACTTCTAAACCTGAAATTCTTCTTATTACCTTGCTTTCCATAACCACACATCTTTCAATAATACTCAATTTTTTTTTTCAGCACAACTTTACTTTTACCCTTGGCATTGGCTCCACTTCCAATCCCTGCTTGAAGAAAATAAGACATTTTTTTACTCCATTTTCTTCTCCAAATAAATTCAAAGAGTACAACCACTTTCAGAGCCATTTAACCTTCAATGGCTACTATGAATACCCTTTTTGAATTAAGTTTGGTCAGAACTCAAATGATAGCAGTGGTGGCAGAAACATACTTTCTCTCAAAAGGTTTTTACTATTATTTCTGTGGTAATTTTTAATGTTCTGTCATCCTATATGACTTTTCTTCTGACCTCTAAGCCATGTTCTAATTTCTTATATGCACTTTCTCTTGC